GTCCTTGAAGGAAATCTGCTTACTACTTTCTCTTGTGATTTGAGCAGCCTGCTTTCTCATACAATCCAGAGCCACCTGCCCAGTGTGACCCCACCCATGGTGAGCTAGGCCCTCCCACATCAATCAAGAAATTACCCCCCACAGACTTGCTCACAGGCCAGTCTGATACAGGCATTTTCTCAGTTGAGGTTCCCTCTTCCCAGATGACCCCAATTTGTGTCAAGTTGACAAAACACTAGCCCAGGAACATACCCATACATCTGACTACACTAACACAAAACAAAACAAATTGACCCTCTCTTCAAGTGAGAAGGCAAAAGACACTGAGAAGGAAGGGTACACAGCACTGTGTGCTGACAGGTTGCTTCAGCCTATAGCCTATGTCCTCACAAGTGAGTGTTCAGTACACACAGAGAGAACAAACTGATAAAAAGCTGGCAACCTGGTAGAAAAGCAACAGGAAGGGAGACATGTCAAGCCAATAAAAGTGCAAAGGGACAGCCAGGAAATACAGATTACAAAGACATATTACAACTGATTTTTAAACATTTTTAAATTTTAGAAGCAATGTGTGGGAATTCTCCCATGCTGTCTTGGGGACAGAAGCAGGTTTAGCCACCTCAGAGGCCCAGTATTCCTATTTCTAGGCATATGCCCTATAGAATCCTTTCACAGGAGATATGAAAGGTCACTTGACCACTGACCATGTTGTAGGAAGACCACACAACCATGGAGGGAAGAGATCTGATAAAAGGACAAGAGCCACATGTATGGAAAGGTCAGTGAAACTATCAGAATATGTACTAGCAAAGACCAGGCGCTGTAAAACTGAAAATCAGAATTGATCCAAACTCTTCTTGCACAAAACAGATAAGCCACCAAACATTCAAATGAAGGAATTCTATATGTAGCAGTTAAAATAATGAACAAATCCAGAGGCAACAACACAAAAATCTCAAAAACAAAGTACTGAGCTAAAGTAAAAATATAGAAGGACATATAAACCAAGATGCCATTTCTATGGGGTTGGAATATGCTAAATAATAATATAAAACCTATGGAAATACAAAGAAATTAAAAGCAATGCATTATTCCTGACAGTTCTATCTCTCAATGTAGGTATGTGGATTCCTCTGAGGAGAAAGCAGAGTGACTGGAAGAGAGGGGGCAGAGTCCAGTGACATTTGATCCTATCTATAACATTCCATTTCAAAAATAAAGCTAGTCATGGAGCTTGCCACCAAGCCTGATGTTGGAATCTACAGTTTAAAGACGAGATGACTCTATAATTTAGTTTTTCTCTGACCTTAACATCCCCCACGACAAAAGTTTTAAATGAATAAATAAAGCATGAAGTAAATACAACAGAATGGTGGGTACACCTAAAATTATCATTATTTCTTCTTTGTAACTTCCAGTGTGCTTAAATGTCTTTGCTTAAAGAATGAGTAACACCACACTTCTAAAACTTCATTTTTCCTAATTAAGTCTTCAAAATTATAGAATTTCTAATTAAATACTAAGATGTCAATAAAACTTACTCATAAAATTTGTCCAAGCAAGGAGTGGTGCCCTCAAGAGGCATATTGCTAGCTCAGTGCTAACCCTTCTCAAAACAAATAAAAACAAGATCTGAATTCTCATTGTGAAATTTATTTAAGTGTATGTCCATACGGTAAGTAAATAAATGAAGCACTTAGATATAAATTACAAGTACCCTGACCATAATGTGTGTATTTGCGTGTGTTTATACAGCACAAATAGATAAACCTGTGGGTATTGGTTTGAAAAACAATTTATAAATATACCCATGAACTTTAAAGTTACAAAAGACTTGGGTGAAGTGTCTTTGAAATTTTTACATTTTAGATTTGGCTTAATGGATAAGGGAGTTTTGGTTTTTTGGTTTTTTTTAATAAATATGTGATGAACTTCATATAAATTTTGACTTTGGCAATAATTCGGAAGTGCAGATTGAACCCTTTGGGTTTTCTTTCTATTAACTCACATCTGCTAAATGATCAGGTTAAACAAACAGGCACACACTTGGGTCAAATCACTATACACACCCAATTTTCAAGGGCCATGGCAGCCACCCTTGAAAGGGGAGCCATCCTCTGCTGTCCCTTTAAGGAAGGCGGTGCTTGGGGAACTCAGTTGTTCCATTTGTATCTCAAATCAATCAGATGGAATTCTCCTTCACTGTGCTTGAATCCTGATAGCTCAGGTAATTTAATCGCACCTGGTGTAGATGAACACAGACTCAAATTAGCTACTGAAAGACCAAGCTTCTCAGAGTTAGCTGTGCTTTTCCACTTTTGTGCAAGAGCTGAGCTTCACCAACTGGCTAGCTGGAGGTGTTATTAAAAATTTAGTGAAAGAAACAAAGGTGTGTTGGGTGTCTCTCATTACCCTTTCTACGGTTACCCTGGCAGACAAAAGGCACAGAGCCCACCTCATGAATAATGTGGCATGGAATATTCACAATCCATTTTTAATGGAGCCAAGTAATAACATTAAGGGAGATATTTACAATCTTCAAATTTCACAGGGCTACTGGCACAGTAACTTGTTTTGATTCTAAACTGAGGGTTATTGAGATAAATATTTTTCCAGTTTGAAAAAAAATAAAAGCATATAGGTAACATCAAAATTATGATTTCTATGCTAAGCAATGTGGAACATGTCTGCTATCCCAGCTACCTGAGTTGCTAAAGCAGGGGGACTTGCCAGCTCAGACCCAGCCTGTATTACTCAGCAAGACCCATCTCGAAATAAACAAACAAAAGGAGAGAGAGACTCCTAATAGCATAAACATGGGAAAATGAAAGTGAAACAAATATTCCAAACGTCACCAGGGATGGTTGGGGGGGGGGGCGGGGAGACAGAACCAATGGGTTTCAATCAATTCTACTCCCCTTCCTTATAATTTTACTTTCCAATCAGGTTGGAACTAACAGACAGTGTACACACTGACTTGTGAGCAAGATATCTTCATTCAGTATGGGCTTTGCCTCTCAGGATGATGTGAACTGAATCCCCTACCCTTGGACTTCTCATCACCCTCTCAAACCTCATACAGGAATAAACTCAGTTTATTCAGAATGAGAGTTAAACTGACATGGAAAGACCTGGTCTTGGAAAGCAAATAAGGATGGCCAAGGACATAGATCTGGGAGAAGGGGCAACGAAGACCCCTGAACTCCCACACAGAAAGTCTTGTGTGATTCCTGGTGGCAGGAGGAAGCAGGTGGCTCCCCATTACCTACTGCTGATGGAGCTCCATGAGACTTGTCCTTACTGCTGTGTCTCCAAACACATGCTGACTTGAATGGAAATGGACAGTGCTGGTGGTTCCCCTGGGTCACATGGGCCGAGTCTGGAAGCCTTCAGAGAATAGGTAGTAGGGAAGGCCAGGACCTTATTCTGGTTTCACTCTTGTAAAGAACCTGCTGATGGGACAGAGACAAAACAACCCCGTGCTGGCTAGTTTTATGTCAACTTGACACAAGTTGGAGTTATCTCAGAGGAGGGAACCCTCAGAAAATGCCTTTATAAGATCAGGCTGTAGGCAAGCCTATGGTGCATTTTCTTAATTGATGATTGATGGACTACCCCTGGCTGATGGTTCTGGTTTCTAAAGAAGGCAGGAGGCTGAGCAAGCCCTCCAAGGTCTGTGCATCAGCTTCTGCCTCCATCAGAGTTCCTGCCTTGGCTTCCCTCAACGGAATATGGCTTGGGCTATGTAAGCCCAAGAAACAAGCCCTTCCCTCCACAAGCTGTTTTTAATTCATGGTGTTTCATCACAGAATTAGTAACCCTAAGACAAACCCAGGTCCCATTTCACTCTTCCTCACACATTTTAGGTTTATAATTTGCCTTCAACATGGCAGTTAGTCAATCAGTCTCTCCCTCCCTCCCCACGCTCCTGTCTAGTCTCCATAAAATCTGAGTAGTCAGAATCAGATGGGGGTGGTAGGACCACATCTATGTTTTATGGTCATGTCACAGGATGTATCAGTGGCAGAGCCTACAGTGATACTCAGATCTGTGCTGAAAAGATGGCTCAGGAGTTCAGAGCACTTGCTGCTCTCATAGAGGATATGAGTTGGGCCCAGCACCCATGTCAGACAGTCCACAAGTACCTTTAACTCCAGCTTCAAGGCCTCCAACACCCTTTTCTAGCTACCTCATGCACCCTGCACACTCATGTATATACATTTATAACACACAGAGATGCACACAAATAAGAAAAATATTTTTAAAACATTCAGATCTCTAAATCAAAGGCCTATGATTTTTGTCTAGGAGCCTATGTCCTATTTTTTTTTTTTTCCTCATTTCTTTTTTTTTTTTTAAGGTGAAATTTTTGGAGGGAAGAACTGATGTTCCTATGGGATTATCCAGGACTCTACAAGGCTACACACCTCCTAAATTTTCATTTAAAACATATTAGCTGGGAGTAGTGGCACACTCCTTTAATCTCAGCAATTAGGAGGCAGACAGATCTCTATGAGTTCACGATATAGATATAGTGAGATCCTGTTTGAAATAAAAGAGAGAAAGATTGATTGATGTTGGGTGGTTGGAGGGCTGGAGAGCTAGCTTGACAGGTTAGATTGCCCCCTGCTTTTCCAAAGGTTCTGAGTTTGGTTCCTACCTTCCTACCACACATGTCTGGCAACCTGCAACCACTCATAACTACTCCAGTCCTGGGAGATCCAATTCCCTCTCTACCCCCAGTGAATACATATACCCATACATCCATGCACAAACAATGACACATAGACACATGACTTAGAAATACTAACAAATCTTCTTTTTAAAAGAAATAAGTCATAAAAGAAAGAGAAAAATATGAAACTGGAGCAACAGGCATTTGCTCTTTGGTATTCCTTGGAAGTCCTCCAGTCCCAGCTTCCCCAACAGAAAAAAATAAATTAAAACACCAGTGGCCTTCACCTGAATTCCCTGACCCAATGAAAGGCAATTTGTAATAGTCATAATACTTTATTAAATTAAACATTCTAATAAATATCTAACATACATAACACACTCAGGGAGATTTAGACACATTTACAACCCTCACAGTAGAAATACTAATTTTTCCCTAGCTGATACACAAGGGGCAGGAGTTGAGGTCACAGCCTTTGCCCCACATCTACCAGCCCAGACATCTTATAAAAACTGGATTTGCTCATGAATTTTTCAAACAACCCTCCAGTTGCTTTTTGTTTGCACTTGAAAAGCTCCAAAAGAGTCAAAAAGGAAGTCTGAGTATTTGTGTGGCCTTCTCAGAAACCCCTTGGAGGAGAAGAACACAGTCTCTAGCTTTTGAGGCACAGCGGTGGTGACTTTAGTCTCTGGCTCCCCAGGATCTAGCATGGTCCCTTACTGTAGTCAATAAAGACTTGTTGAATAAATGAAAGAAAGACATGCTGTTCCCAGAAACTAACCCACAGTTCTACCTCCTCTGATGGCACCACAGAGGATCTCTGACTCCCTCTCATCACCAAGTCCACTGTCCCAGCTTCCTCCAACCTGGTGATTTCAAGGGAAATGAGGTCCCTTCCCTAAACCAGTTTTCTTGGGAGGAGAAAAGGGTCCGCTGGCTACCCAGAAGAAGAACAGAGTACTGCTGTTCTTTCTAAATTATGGAGCATCAGCTGCATCCAAAGTTTAAGAGGTGATGCCTCCTGTTAGCAGCTGCCCAGAGTTCTTTCCTGCCTGTTAGACTGGGCAGAAAAGGGAAGGACTGGAAGGCGTGTGATTTCATTGGATCCTTATCTTCAGCTTGTAGGGAAGCCCAAAGCTGTGGTTCCCACTCGGAGCTGACCTTTGAAAAGGGAGTTCATCTCTTCCAGCAGCTTTGGGAAGAAAGGTGAAGGGGAACAGCCATAGTGAACTTTGCACACTGGATTCAGGGCCTGAGCGAGGGGGCAGGCAGGGAAGGTGTCCTCAACAGTAGTGTTCACAGCTGGTGTCCCAGAAGGTCAAGTTACTCATTTGACTCCGTGCTGTGTCTCCCGGTGCCTCCTGAGATCCACCTTCCTTTGGAAGCCCTTCCCACACAGGTCACAGCCAAAGGGCTTGAAACCCGTGTGCTTCCTGCTGTGAGTGATGAGGTTGGAGCTCTGACTGAATGCTTTACCACACACCTGGCATTTGTGGGGCTTCTCACCTGCAAGGATGGAAGACCAAGGGCAGGAAGTATGAGCCTATGATAAAGCTGGGAGGGACCCGTTGCTACCCACATGTTCTTGCTAGCAGCTGGCTAAGACCTTCAAGATGTTGGAGGGTGATGGGTGCAGCATGAACCAACTCCTGGCCTGCAACTTGGTACCAGTAAGACACTGGTGCACCAGGTGGAAGGGAGACTTTTGAGTAGAGGCTCCCAGCCAAAAGTCTCAAACGGTTTCCTGCTAAACGGAAACTGAGCAGAGGCCATGTGCTTGTGCTCCCCAGCTGAATCCACCCCTAGGACTTGCCCGCCTGACTTTTAGAAGCACAGGGCCCCCAGCAGATGTTCAACAGGAGGTGGGAGGGGGCTGCCCTACAGACCCTATGACTGCTTTCGTCAGAGGAAGTTTTCAAATCTGAGTTTCCAAGTGGGTGTTGTTTTGTGTGGCCAGGGAAGCTGTCATCTTTCTAGCTCTTGAAGAACACAGGTTTGTCCAATGTCTTAATTTTTTTTAATCCACATTAGAGCCAAAAAATCACTTCTTAAGGTTGTCTATTCTTTTACCTTCTTCCTTTCTTTGAGGTTTTAAATCACAGGATCCTTAAAATCCCAACAACTGTTTGCTGCAGATCAGTAGATAAAAGGCACAGTAGGGAAATTTTTTAAGAGTAGGCAAAAGAAAGAAAAGCAACAGCTTTTGTCTTCCCCTGCCTTGTGCACTGGTTATCCAAATAATCTTCCCATGGCTCTATAGCTGGGACTTGGCCTTGGGAGGGAAAACAAACAAAAAAGTGTCTGCTTTCAGGAACCTTCCTTATGTTCTTCCCTCTCTCTTCATAGTTAAGATCTCCTGATAAAGACTCACAACAAAACTTCCCCTGATCCTCTAGAATCAAACATATTTGAGAAATGAATTTTAGCCATAATATAAATGTTTAGCATTCAGTCAAGATTCTAGTTTCATTTTAGTAAGTCTCTTTTTGTTTTGTTTTTTTTTTTTTTTTTTTTTTTTTTGAGGCTGGGTTTCTCTATAGATTGGTCTGCCTCTGCCTCTGGAGTGCTGGGACTAAAAGCATGTGGGCACCACCACTGCCCGACATTTGATAGATGTTTTGAACAACTTATAAATGGAAATTTTGGGCAAGGGAGCATGATCAAAGGGAGGTTTTCCTGAGTTCTCTGATACAAATGCCTACACTGCTGATGAATGTTTACAAACATCAATTGTGAGTTCCTGGAAGACACTGTGATATTTTACTTTTTATGTATTTGTTTACTGTTTAAAAAAAATACAGGACACTACTATGTAGCCTTAGCTGGCCTACAATTAATTATGTAGCCAAGGCTAGTCTCCATCTCTAGGGATGTGGCTGTCTCTTTACCTCCCATGTGCCATCATGCCCAGGTGTGATTTGATTTAAAGAGATACTCATGACCTTCAGTAAAGTCAGAGGTTGTGGTGTCATGTAACTATCATATTGAGTATTACAGGAAATGTTCTTAGGGCAAGAGACTCACTTTAGTTCACAAGAACCCAACTGCACCTGAAGGAGTCCCAGACTGGAAGCTGGAGCACTGAGATGTACTCACAGTGACTTTGATAGATCACTTGATGGCTGGGTAATAAAAGGACCCCATTTTACTGTGTGAAGCAGCAGGAAAAGACCAAAGGAAATGGACAATCTGAAACATTCGGGTATTTTTAAAGCATTGTAATAAGTTAGGAATTGCCACTGTTAGGGAATGGAATTAATGTTTTGAAAAGAACAACAAATAACAGAAGTGTTCCTGGCTCCCACAATGTAAAGTCCAATACAACAAACAAGTCATGACTATAAACATTGGAGAGCTCAGACCAACAGACCTGAACTTGAGCCCCATGTGACCCTGGATAAGTTATACAATCCCTCTGTGCCTCCAATTCCCCACCTCTAAAATGGGACCAAAGAACAGTATCTGGGAGAGCTTGATGTCAAACCACTGATAAGTTAGCACAGAGGAAGATAGTCCTTCAGACCCAATGCCAACCAAAGTTCCCTCTGGGGAGAACTCATCTACCACCACTGGGACCAGAGTACACAAGGAGAGTCATGTTGGCCTCCAAGAACCTCCTATATGCCCAGGCCCTTCAAGTCACCTGTGTGGATGAAGGTATGTTTCTTCATGTCGGACTTCTGGTGGAACCTCTTGCCACAGTACTGACAGGGGTAAGGCCGGGTGTCTGAGTGAATGAGCAGGTGTGTAGACAGTGTGGATGACCTCTTGAAGCTCTTGCCACAGATTTTACAGTCAAAGCTCCGTTCCTGCAGAGGGGACAGGAAGGGAGAGGGAGAGAAATGCATCACTCCTTCTGCAGTCCTAGGTCATTACCACTGACAGATTTCTGGAAGCCAGGAGTCCTCTCTCCTCCTTCCCTTCTTCCCTCCCTCCCTCCATTTAGTTTCAACCTCCACCCATCCTTCAACACCTACTTATTAACAGGTTTTCTACCAAAACACTTTCCAGCCACAACCCTCCACACCCCAGGGCATTTTTGACACCCATTGACAGATTTCACCACCCTCCTCAATAGGACCTCAGCCACTTAAGGTGTTTGGGGGAGGAGATGGGCAGTTGTCACAGCCACTTGTGTAGTATTTTGCTTATCTCCCTCTCTTTAATCACCATACAAGCATCCAACAAAGACCTGGTGTGCTACATGGTTCATGGGTGCCTGAAGCCTTGGACTTAGACAACAGTTACTTATAAACGAATGAATGGATGGATGGATGGATGGATGGATGGATGGATGGCTAGTATGTACACTGAACATTGTGTATGTGAACTGAGACCCTTCCTTGCCAGTCAGGAAGGATAAAGGGGGCATAAACAGTAAAGCCAATGCATCAACAATGCAGCATACCTTCCTCATTTCCAACACAACTCCATCACTAGTGCGACCACAATCTAAGATTGCTGCAAACCCGGGCCTCTATCACCCACGTTTTTCAGGGGCACCAAAGGAGTCTAGAGGCAATGGGAAAGTGGCTGGTGCTGTATCTATCGCTTATGGGTTGAAAGGTCCCCAGTGCAGAGGCAGGTCCCCAAAGCCAAGCTTACCTGAGAGTGCACGGCCTTGTGCTGCTCTAGGCTCACCGCGTGCCCGAAAGTTTTGCCGCACATCTCGCACGCAAATGGTCTCGTGCCGCTGTGGGACCGGCGCACGTGCACCTCCAGCCCGTGCGGTGTGGAGAACACCTGGGGGCAAGTGGGGCCAGGGAGAGGCTGCTGAGGGAGGTCTGGGGGTGTGGACGTTGGAGGGTCACGGGCTGGGGACGCAGGCACAGGGCTGATGAGGCCAGGTGTGCAGGAGCCTCACCTTGCTGCATTTGATGCATTTGTAGGAGCCACCGCCCAGCAGCAGGCGGGTACACAGGAGCTCTGACTCTACCTTGACGCCCACGCTCTTGTCTGCGTGGATCTCGTGGCCGCGGTCTTGGTACAGCCGGCCGGCTGCTGCATTCGGTCGTTCATACAGCCCGGCCGCCCCAGGACCGAAGTCTCCGTAGAGCCCCAGGCCTGCGCCACTGCTGCCTCCTCCTGGGGCTCCGCAGCTCCTAGGTGGCCCCGCACCGGCTCCACCCGCCGCCGGCTCAGGGCCGTACATCGCGGCGGGGTGGCCCGGCTCGGCGCCACGCTCGCAAAAGAGGCTCAGGCCTGCGCTGCGCTCCAAGGCGGTGCACTGCCGGTAGCTCTGCACCAGGTGCCGCAGGTCGGACCCTGCGAAGCCGCTCCACGCATAGGGCTTGAAAGGCAGGGTGTAGGGCTGAACTTCGTCCAGAGAGCGGCTTAACGACTTCTCGGAGCCTGTGGGGGCACAGGAGGCAGTCGGGTCAGGTTCGAGGCTGCTGGGCAGAGCCCGCACTGCGAGATCCCTACTGTTTGGCTCCCAAGCTAGTTAGAACGCTTCGCATCCAGACACCCTGGGTAAAACTCAGGTAAGCCCACGGAACTTCTCTGGCCAGCAGCTGAGCAGCCAAGCGATGTTTTAAATGATATATAAGTCGAGGAGAACGGTAAGTTCGATTTGATGTTTCTCTGGCTAGACCCCCAACACTTAGAGCTTAGGCCTAGAGTCCTGTTACTAGATCCTGACCTCTCCTACTCCCTTTAAGTCCCCACTCAACCTTTTTCCTTTTTATCTACATTTATGGAGAAGGGCAGAAAAACTCTGGTCCAAGGCTATCTAGAAGGATCGGACTGAATGGCATTAAGACTTCTCAAAGTGGTCAATTTGTTTAATGTGGTTAACAAGGTACAGCAGGCAAGAGCGCGGGAAGTATGCCCATCCCTGATAAATTTCTGATAAATTATTTTACAGTTAAGGGTTAGCGACCATCTTCAGGAGAACTCCCCCCTCCCCCCCACACTCTTGTTAATTTTGCTAAAACTGGATTCTGGATGAGTAAATGCATCCTCACACTTCATTCTGTTCCGTGAGAGGTTGCGGGGGGGGGCGGGGGGAGCTGCTGGTCACACACAGCCAGGAAGAACCTATTGATTGCTGGGATGGATGAGCTATCTTTTAAAACTAGTACTATGACCTGGAAATAACCGACTCTTGGCAGGATTTGGATCATCCGCTGCTCCTTCCTTACTTTTGCCCAGACCCCAGATGCTCCTACTCAACCCTAGTCACAGGGAGCTCAGTTGGAAATGAACTCGGGTCTGAGATTTGACCTTCCTAGCAGAAGGAAGGGAAATGAAACTTTTGAAGACAGAACCAAGGAACTCAGCAACCTCGCTTTCCAAGTGTGGCACCCAGCTCTGCCCTGCTCAGACTGCCCAGGTCTCTTGTCTGAGGTATTTGTGTCTGCATCCTGGATTCTGGAATCTGACATTTCTTTTTTATTTAAAAAATTATTTTTCATCTTACATACCAACCCCAGTTCCCCCTTCCTCCCCCTTTTCTTGCCCCCTTCCCCCCTCTTCTTGCCCCCCCTTCCCACTCCCATAGGGAGTTAGGCCTTCCTTGGGGAGTCAACTAAGTCTGGCAAACCAAGTTCAGGCAGGAGAACCAAGCCTCTCTCCCAAGGCTAGCAGGGTATCCCATTATAGGGAATGGGCTCCAAAAAACCAGTTCATGCATTCAGGATAGGTCCTGGCGCCACTGCCAGCCACCACTCCCAACAGATCAAGTCACATAACTGTCACCCACATTCTGAGGATCTAGTTCGGTCCCATGCAGGTTCCCTAACTGTCGTGTCTGACACTTTAGAAACAATGAATTCTGGTCAGGAAAAAAAAATGCCAGCCAGATTAGAGGACTGGCTGTTTTGTCGCCTCGATCAGTTACAAACGAATTAAGGACTACTCTGGACCAACAGTCTTAGGAGGCAGAGTACACTTTTAGGGAAAGACTGGCTGCCTCCCCCTGGACCCAGTTCCCTTAGGAAACAGCTCTCTGCTTCTCTTGTGTGGACCTCCTTATGAACTGCGGGGGGGGGGGGGAAGTCCCCGGACCTCTGCCACAAGGCCTCGAAAAAATGGTCCTTACCTGGAGAAACCGAGGGAGAAGGAGGCCTCCAGAAGTCCTCGAACTCGGAGCTCGGGTCACAAATGCTGCCTTCGCAGCTGTCAGGGGACGTAGAGGCTTTGTCTTGAGCTTCGGTTAGCTGAGAGTCGGGGGACAAACGGTCTTGGGGTTCATTCTTCTCCTCGCCTGCACTCACAGGGTCATCTGTGGAGAGGAGTCAGGAGGGAAGTAAACCTGAGCCTGGCTGAGCTGAAATGGTTCCACTGTGGACCCAGCCGGGAGCCCTCCCAGATTCAAGGACAGACTATGTGCGGTAGGGACATCTCTGGCAACCTCGGCAGAACCGAAGCACTAGGAAACAAACAAAGCACGCGAGGGGCGTTGGGGTAGCCTCCGCTGGATCTAGGAAGCGAGGTGGCTTGGAGCAGAGTCGGCGTCCCTGACAGCTGCCCGCCCGGTCCCACCGCGCCTCGCACCTGCTCTGCCGGGCGCGGGCACAGTCTCCAGACTGAGGGAGTAGTCTGGCCCCGGGGAACGCGGCTGGTGGTAGCTGTGCGCCTTCTTGCTCTTGACCAGGAAGGAACGCGGCATGGTGGCCAGCCACTGGATGAATGTTTGGACCCTCGGTTAGCCTGAGGTTACTCCAAAGTCTAAGAGGAGGGGAGATCCAGGTGGAAATGCGGGTCAGCACTGATGGCGGCTCTAGACCGCACCCAGGCTGAGAGAGGAGAGAGGGAGGCCCTCGGGAGGAGGGGCTTGGCCCCCAAGCGCCTCGCTCACCAGGTGGCACTCGGACAGGTGGCGCGAGGCCTCTGCTGCCTGCCACTGCCACAGCTCAGTGGTAAAACCTGTCCCCGGGCTCTGGCCCAGGTCTCTTTGCTCTGCCTCGCCCACGCCTCAGCCCCTCCCTTTCCCCTAGCAAAGCTCTCTCATCACTCTCCAGAGTAGTCCGTTATCCCAAACCAACTCTGCATTGCTCTCCTGGTCCCTTCTGGGTTGAGGGGACCGACTGGGACGCGTGAATGACTTTAGTTTAAGCGGTCAGGGTGCAATCAGTGGTTGGGACCCGGAAGGACCCTGGAGAGCCAAGATCCACGATAAGCAAGCTAAAGAGGGGCATGCTAGGCAGGACTGAAGGATTGGTTTGTCTGGCGACTATGTGAAACTGAAGCTGGAGCAGAAAGGCAGGAAGCCAGAGAGACAGGAAAGTGAAGGGGGTGGCAAAAGAGAAGGGTCTGCCCCAAGAGAAACGTCCACTGGAAAAAGTTAGCCTCCAAGCCAGCGATGGTGCCGGCATTGGCCAGGGGAGAGACCACTGTGAAGCATCCAGACCCCCAAGCCTCGCCTCTGCAACTAAGTACCTCGAAGAAGCATTTTCCGATCTGCTCACCAATTATCTTGTCCTAGGGAAGTTGAGTCTGAATTGCGTGTGCACAGACTGCCAAACACGCGGCGCCCAAATCCGTGGAGCATCAACGCTTTAGGGGGCCAGCAAGGTGAAACAGAAGCGTGCACGAGTGAGCAGTGGCCAGGAGGCTGGGGTCCCCAGAGCCAGCACGACTGAGAGCCGGTGTCGCTCTCATTAACCCCCAATCAGTTCAACTAATCTCGGATCGAAACCTGAACCCGGAGGGGAGGCGGGGCTGCCACTGCGTCCCCACTCCAGGTCGGCTCTGCCCACCCCCGCCCCGCCCCTTAGGAGCCCAACGCTGAACGATTCCGCCTGCCTTCAAGGTCCAAGGCGCAGGGAGTCGACCGCAAGCCGGCGGGAACGGCTGGCGGGTTCAGAGAGCAGGGCGCAGGGAAGTCCAGACCGATGTGCGCCTATGGTCCTTGGATTTCCTACGGTTTAGACTACGGAATCGGAACCGCTTTGCTTCCACAGTCTACTACCAAACACACCTAAGGCCCCACTCAAAAGGAGTCTAGGGATCCCTGATGTTAGTATTCAGGCGTCTGTACTGTCTGTCCTTGAGGTTCTGACAGGATACGCCTTAGTGCAGCCACTAAGAGCACCACCTGAGCCTATTCACCATGTCCCCTTTTAAAAGGGTCCTCCCCACCTCCCACCTTCCTCCCTCCCTCTCTTTCCCTGACCCTCTCCCCTTTCCTCTCTCCCACTGCTCCGGTCCCTGGAAGTCCGTTCTCCTTTCCCCTTTTTACCATCCTTTCCCTAATAAAAACACCTCAACTTGAATTCTGTAGCATGGCGTCTTTCTCTCTCGAGCCACTTTTTAAAAATTACAACACCTGCTCCAGATCCCCAACTCTAGTGTGTGGTCTTCCCCGGTGGAGTGGGGTAAAAGGAATGCTGGAAATTGCTGCCAGAGATCTAGGCTCCAGAAGGCCTTGGACGAGCATGCCACACTACTTAGTCGGGTTTGGCTTCCAGGACCCGGGCTCTACCGCTGAAATTTTTCCAGCACTCCTCGACTGACTGTACAGCCAGACGCTCCAACCAAAAGACAATTTTTAAAGCAAGCATGAAGAGAAGGAAAACAGAGCAAGGGTCCTGGAGGCCTCGGTGAGACTCGGGACCGCGTTGGCCAGGAACTAGACCGGTGGGAAGAAGGGCTGTATGATCCCGCGCTGAGTCTGCGCGTCAGCAACCACGCGGGACACACACGGTAGACACGTCCTCCTGCAGCCGCAAACCTACACTTCTAGAGCACCCTGGAGGGCTTTGCTGGTTCCGGGTAGGAGGGGTAGGGGGATGGCAAGGCCCAAGGCCCAACGCGTGGGAAGGCAACCTCGTGCTGCAGCTGGCGTGCAGGGGGGCGGGGCGGCACGCTCCTGGCACCAGGGCCCGCCAGGCTTCCCCTGGTCATCAGAGGCCGGGAATTAGGGACCCGAAGGCAAGGCGCTCAGGAGCCCGCATCCAGAGCCCAGCTGCCGCCACATACCCACCAGAGGGCTACTTCCTACGTGGATCCCACTCCCCTATCTAGTCTCCAGGCCGTGTGCCCCCTATTCCAGATCTTTCGCTCCACCAGTTTGGTGGCTTCAGAACCCAAACCCCGGAGCTCTGCAGCAGGTGGGGACCTGCCAGCGCTCTCGGGACGTCCCCATAGTGTCAGTGTCCTCCTACCAGTCCACCCCCGCATGGGCGGGAGGCACAGCAGCTCAGCAAACCTACCTGCGGGGTCAGGGCGCGGGCACCGAGCTCTGAGAGTGTGCAAACTGAACCTTGCTTTCGGGAGAGACTGATCTGTCTTTCTGATTTTTTTTTTTTTTTAATCTCCTTTGGAGCTCAGCCCCCAAAACCGCAAACTTCACTTCCTGAGCGTTAGAGGCGCTCACTAGCCCTCTCAGACCAATCCCATCCCCCAGGCGATGGGCCATGAGCCTCCTTTGTGCAAGGGGTCAGGAGGAGATGGGGCGTTCTTGGGGCGAACTTCCTGGGCACCCCTGAGCAGTTCTCCCCATTTGTTTGTCTATGGAACCAGGGGCTATCTAAGGAGGACCAGGGAGGTCTTAGTACCCAGAAATAGCTAGAAAGAAAATCGAAGTATTCTTGGCTCCTGGAGATTTCCGCAGCTAGAAGTCACAGATTCAGGACACAGATCGATGGAAGCGGCGGGTGCTGGGGGAACTCAGCTCGCACGAGGCCTCCCTGTCTCCTCTGGCTGTGAGCACCCCAACCCTGTTGCCCGCTTGAGCCATGACGCCCCCGGATCGCGGCCGTGAATCACCGGACCCCGGTGCCGCCGGCCTGGAGCCCGGCTGGTGGTCACCGCGTCCGCAGAGCGAAACCTGCGCCGCGGCCCCGAAATAGCTTGTGTTATGGAAACACTTCAGGATAAATACGCCCAACGAAGCTGAAAATACCTTGACACCCAATCCCAGAGGTTTGCTCATTTCCCTTCGGATTTAGGTAACAGTTAAATTTGGAAGAGGTGGGCGAGCGCCGAGCCCAGCGAAGAAGGGCCGGCTGGCGGCGCGTCCCGCGGGCGCCGGTGGCATCGGTGGGCGCGTCCTCCCCGCTCCGGCCCCCGCCTCGCTCTAGCTTCCGGTGGTCGGAGCTGCGAAATTAAAGGCGGCGCGGGGGGCAGCGGTTCGCCTGACTTAGGGTGGCGGTGGCGGGGGGGGGGGGTAGCGGGGAGCGCCAGGGGTCGCAGCTAGGTAGTGAGCCTAGGGGACACTGTCCTGAAAGGACAACCCCGAAGGTAATTGCAAAGCAAGGGCTTCGGAATAATGTCCACCGCGGGCTCGTCCTCAATGGAGAATTAACACAATAGCAAGGGGGAAATGCTCAAACTTCAATCTTCTGCATGTAAAAAACATATAAACAAACATAAAATACAACCACTTGAGACTTAACGTCGCTTAGTAGTATTTGCCTTCACCCTCTCCTCACTTGCAGGGGTGAAGCCGCCATGCCATCAGCACCATACTCTTCCAAGTGACTTGGGCTGGGTTTGGGGTGCTATTTAGTGCACTATAATTCTGCAGTAAGATACCGGGAGGGCACAGATGCCCTGTAGATCTTGCAACACACACACACACACACACACACACACACAAACACACACACACACACACACACACACACGTTCAAGCCTTTATCTTGTTGATTCTTTGAGATTGAAGCCCTGGAATTTGCACTTGTTATAAGGAAAAAAATCCTTTCCATAGGGGGAAAAAAGTGATTTTTTTTCCACTGTAAAAATGTAAAAATTTGGCTAGCATAGCATTGTTTCACACGTTTTAACAAATTGGGCATCTACCTCTTATGGCCTATATCTCTGCTTTCTGTTAGGACACAGATCCTGTCTGCTAAGCTGCCCTCGGGTCCAGGGTGCTCAACACACCCTTTCTTATAGCTGAATGCAGAGGTATGCAATCCTAGGTCACACACACTGGATTAGCTAAAGGGAATTGTGTGCTTCATCTTGTCCTTTTGTGAATATCTAAGAGTAGTTCCAAAGCAAATCTTTCTCTTTTCTTTCTTTCCCTTTTTTCTTTTTCTTTTTTTCTTCTTTTTATTTTCTTTCTTTCTTTCTTTCTTTCTTTTTTTTTTTTTTGGACAAGGGAAAATCAAAAATTTAGAAGAAAATGACAAATGTGACAAAATTTTGTTATTAACCAAATTTTAAAAAATGGTGAAACTGTTTTTTCATAGAAGCAAGCTCAAAGTCAAAGTTTCCCATTCAGGCTCTCTGGCTAGTCTGCAGTTTAGTTAAGTACTGTTGGAGGGTCCACAACGAAGGCACACCAGCACCTCCAGCAACCCTGAAGCCCTTCCTTTGGCTAAACTGATTCATCTTGCTTTCCATTTGCTGTCAGTAGTCTCTTGGGATTTCTGACTTGGCAAATAAAACTGGGAGCTGGGGCATGGTCCTTTGGAGCAGGTAGGAGGTAAATGGTACTGAATCCCCTGTATATCTTCACAGGCTGAGCCATGTAGTTGTATGATTAAGCTGAATACATACACACTAAAGTAGTTAACACAGGGGAAAGGGTTGAGATGTGATTCCCACACTTGGGGAACACCAGAGGAAGGCAGAGAGAAGGGGCCCAGAGAGATAAAGAAGCTTGAAAAAGAGGGGCAGGGAGCCAGACCTGGCTGTGATGTGACAATGACTGGTATCCTGCTTAGCATTTCAAATCACCTTTTGTTTACTTAATACTAAACTGAAGGTAAAGAGAGTATCAGACATGCCTCCAGCTTCACACCACACCACACACACACACACACACACACACACACAGAGAGAGAGAGAGAGAGAGAGAGACAGAGACAGAGACAGAAAGAGCAAGAAGGAATCCTCCCCTTCATCTTCCTTTGGAAATGACAATCTGATGGAGAAAAGGTACTTGAAAAAGTAATTTACTATTTTTTCCAAGCAATTTACTATTTTTTTTAAAGTAACAATAATGTGCCTGTAGATGCCTAATGCCAAATGATTTAATCTTCCAAACATTTCAGGTGTCTAGCCAGTCATGTTTGTCTGAAGGACCATCTCATATTATCTATTGATAATAAAAACAGTGAGGATCTGGCACGCAAAATCATCTCAAGAGGCCAAGACAAGAGGGCCAAATGTAAAAATTCAGACTTAGTTTCAAACAAAAGATGTGAGGCATAAAAAAAAAAAAAAAGAAAGAAAATGAGATGATACTGTTCTTCGCTGCTTATTTTTTCCCTAAGATTTACCACTACAAAGCTCTCTCTGGAGGGCTTAGGGAGAGTGGGAATAGAGAGACCCTAGAGGGGGCGCTGCTCGAACTCCCAGCATGCATTCTGATAGTGTCCTCCTCTTGAATAGCTCAGAAATGTTAGGAGGAAGGAAAAGGACTTCATGCCTTATAAAGGCAGATGTGATTATCAGTCTCTATTCTGCCAAAACCAACCCGTGACTTTGCCCACTGTTTCTCACCAGGAAGTCAGAAGCTAGCAAGTACTGCAGAATGGTGCTGGGACTCTCATGTTTACCCTTCACAGGTCCATGTGAGGAGTGAGAATGAAGGGGGCTTAAGAAGATGCTTAACATCATTATAAAGTGTATTACGTGCAATCTGGTAAGGAAAAGAATAAAACCCAGCCAGAGAACCTTCCGGGTGTTTTTTCCTCAATTCTTGAAAAAAGAAAGCAATCTCATAGCTATAACTTCAAAAGGTCATAGCTAAAATTGTGTGTTATCCTAGCATATTTATTTTATACAAAACAAACTTTACAGTAAAATTTACTTAAGTAAAAAAAATCACCACAATAAAACATATAGTATATTATTAAAATGCATAGTCATTGTTTTATGTGTCAGCAAAAATACATTTTTAGTCTATAATAATCTTTTATCATTTTAAATGTTGTAAATGCTTTAACTGTAACTTTCTTAGCCACTCATGCCTAAACATTTAGCTTTCTCTACCTCTCACTCCCTCTCTCTGATACAATCTGTGTTGCCCATCCTATTCCTCATAGGTCCTCAAGATCTCTTTCTCTCTTTCTCCTCTCATTTTTAAATACTATGATGTAAATTTTCTTAACAGTGTTTCCTGCTTTTCTTTATGCATGTATGTACTGGTGCTGGGGATGAACCCAGGCTTTGCATATGCTCCAACTTCAAAATCTAGGATCTACTTTTCAGAGTGGAATTTCTAAGTCCAGCAGTGAATATATCTGAGTGGCCTTTGATACATACTACAAGTGTTTTAGGTAGTATCTTGAGTGATATGTAAGCCAAATAATTCATATCAATAAATAACTAAAAGACTGTGAAAGACCACTGTAGAAACCACTGTATTTTAGTACAAGTGTTTGTTATAACAGTGGCCACACCCTGTCATATTGCTATAGTTGTTCTCCGACATTAAAAAGAAGTCTATTTGATTTTTGTCTTTGGATAAACTGTCTTAGTGAATGCAGTCAGAAATGTTTTTTTCTAAAATATTTCAATTCAAAGAAATTAAATCAAAGTGATAACTGTGTGATGCCTGAACTTAGGAATCAGATATGTAATTACTCCTCAGCAAATGAGAAGGATCAGAAGAGAAAGGGCTGGCTGCCAAGCCCCACAACCTGAGTTTAATCCTTGAAACTTTCATAGGGCAAGGAAAGAACCGGCTCCCACAAATTGTTCTCTGACTTCCACATGGCTCCCAATAGATAAATATAAAATTAAAATAAAAATCCTTTTTTTAGAAGTAGTAACATATTAAAATAATATTCAAATAATGACATCAGACAGAGTATGATTTGATATCACTCATGGTCAATAGGCAATACAAAAGCCAGAAAGTAAGTTAAGGAGATACTCAGCAATAAACAAATTAATATCCCACATCCACTACAAGTAAAACCTGCCCCCTCTTAAAACATTTTTACTGTTATCTCCTCCCATGAGTGTGGGTGAGAGACAGATGTGTTTACTAACTGAGCCATCTTAATACACTTCTCC